TGGACTATATCAGGTACTGAATATAATCAATAGTGCGGAAATATCGAGAACAGTGATATATCCATGAAGTTCTCATCTTCAACGACTCCATTTATTGTCAAGTCAAATTTAATTAAACTATAGAAAGGATGTGGTTGGTTAGCTATGTCTTAGATTGACTGTTTTCGTACCAACAGCTGTCTTAATCAGTGCCAAAGCAAACAGAATGTCTGGGACAACATATGTCATGTTAAAAGTCTTTGCATTCCTAACATGGGCCTGGCTGATACACGTCGTTTCCTTTATCACCGAACTTCATACTTGTTTGTAGGTAACGATACATTCACGTTTGTCTACTGCAGTTTCACTGTCATTACCACATCACGAAYAGTTTCAAGTGTTCGAAACAGATAGAAGTTGCAAGATCAAAGTAGGTACTTCTTAACTACAAAATTGTTTCACTATAATATGCCTGTCATAATGGTCGATTTGTTGTGTCAATTTTTTTTTTCAAAGAAAACTGAATTTGTTTATAGATTTTGGTTCGGTTATTATTGAGTTCAATTCCACACTTTGTGATTATTACACGCGACTTAAACGGGGAAAAACGACACTAAAAAAATCGTGTCGTGTGTGTAAATTGTTCTCAGATTCTATCGAGAAGTCCAATTATAGCGTCGACCATCTGGAAGAAATGCAAATATTGGACCTCGAGGTTATGTAAACCCCTTTATACACATAACTAGGTAAAGAAGCTCGATTTTCAATGCGTGTCAAAAAAGAAATTACTAATAATCTGAAATAACAAATATTTAATTAAGAGAAGGTGATTGAATGGTTACAGGCGTTAATTATAAAAGGCTGTCAATGGAGCTCCTACACAAAGTATAAGCCTCTTTCGTTTAGTATATAATTCAGCTTACGTCGGTCCGCGTAGGCTCCAAAATCACAACAAGATAGAACATATATATAGAAGGAGATCAGATGGGACAAGATGGCACATGGGAAATGCTAAGGTGCATGTAGATACCAGTATAGTTAAACTAGCGCCATTAGCATATATCAGTTAAATTTTTGCAAGAATATATATYKAAGATCAWGTTGCAAAACTTCTTCRCAATGTCAATAACATTTGATTTGCTGTTTAACTTGAGAAATTGAGACCCTTCTTGGTAATTTCAAAAACGTTTTATGTTAATTTGCTGTCGTTGTTGTTGTTGCTGTTAATGTTAATGTTGTTGTCTTTTAATGCCTTTACAACTGATCAACACTAAATGGAATTGTCAGTATGTGATCGGTCAGAAAGAAGCTGAATTCATGGAAGCTTTAATAGTGCTTTTAAGTTCATTTCGGGTTTGCTGTTTTAGAGACTGAAACTGAGCAGTCAGAATGCACTAGGATGATTGACACACGTTTGCAGGTTTTTGCTCTCTTTCATTCTTTTCTTCCTTTCTTTTACTTTTTTTTAACCCTTTCTTCACTTTTCAAAAMAAAATTTTGTTATGTATAAATATAAGTATATGCCCCATTTGGAAACATTTTGTCATTAATATCTGTTCGTTGCAATTGTAAGGTGCCGCTTACCATCTCAAAAAAGATGTCTGGTCCGATAAAACCGAACCAACGCAAAGAAACACTTACATTTAATAAATTATAGATAAAATTTCAAAGTTACATGTCACGTATGATCATACTTTGATGTACTATACAAAAAAGGCATTCAATAAAATTTTATATAAACATTTATTTTAGAACAAAAACCTTTTGTTCTTTTCGGTCGGGACGRGACGAAGGGTCTAGRTTTATAAGTCGACGCGACTTATCTTTCACCTGGATCTTTCATWGCTTTCATCGTCTTAAATTTRCCAAGGTTTTTATTTGCATWTCAGACACAASAAGCAAACCGATGCAAATAAGACGATAGCAAGAATAGTTGACGGTAGGCTATCTATGCTTTTCATCTCCGTTCTTAAGCCTACTTAGTTTTTAATCAGTACTGATTGGAATAATAAAATGTATTTTAATACGCTTTCAAGAAAAATTGCTATATATTTTTGTTTGCTGTCATTTTCTCTTTTTTTTGCAATTGTTTTCAGTTTTCTTTTTGCCTGGTTGCAATTTGTTTGTTTGTTTATTTGTGCGCTTATTTATCAGTACTATCATTACCGTCATATCATTTTAAAAATTT